AATATATTGCCAAATAAACAAGTTTCCATACAAAATTTGATTTCGATCGATCAGTTTGTATGGCAGCTACATGCTATAGTGGTCTTATAGCAGAGGTTCTGACAAATGAGCAGCTTATTGCGGAGAAAAGGACCAAAAAAGTGCACAATAGATGATCGATATCTCAAAAACTGAGGGAATAGTTTGCGTATATACAGACTCATGGACATAGCTAAAACGACTCAGCTCGTAAGGCTTATTTATAAATTTAAAAAAAATTTTGTGTCTTATGAAAATGAAGTGAGAAAATGAGTATATTTCATGAAGCACCTGTCAAGCTGTCACTGAAGATTTCTGCTGTAATGCCAATTCAGCGAAATCTGAAAATCATTAAGGATTGCATGTGGATGATGTGATTAATTAACATAATCTATCGATTTATAGTAAAGCATTTGTTTTTTTAATTTTTTATAAACATTATTGGTAGCTATCGTCATTTGACTATGTTATGATGACTTCGCTTGCTCCGCTAGGCTGCACTTTGTCAAGAAACTGGAAATATTACGGTAAGGCATTTTAAACAGTACAGTCAATGGAAACGATAATATATGCAAAATAATGACAAGTCCGATGTATAGCACAACTGAAATGGAAATAAAAAATAACATAAATATAAATTTTCAATAAACTTGAACAAAAACAAAAGTATTAAAACAATAATAAATTTTCTCAACTTTCGCCAAAATTAAAAACTATATTCAGAAAACTAAAATTCATTTTGTGGTTTATATATAAAAGCTTCGTAAAATAATAAGACATTTTTGAGTGCCCCAAGGTTTATATATTTTATTAACTTAACTTACCATTCGGATCGGTTCCACGAACACCAAATTACTGCCCACAGTGAAAAGACAGATAATAACCAAGGAATTTAGCAACGACAGGGCATAGGACACATGAATTGCTTTTTGGAAGATTTTCGCACTCAAAAAACGACCATGCCAACCGAGGCGATTATTTGCGACAGCAATAATGGACCAACATATATTATACTTAGTTTGTAACAACCAGAAGGAAGAAAAAAATATCCCATAAAATACAAATAAATACATATAAATAAATAACCACCATGACGAGCTGAGTCGATTTAGCCATGTTCGTCTGTCTGTATATTTTCGAATAGCCTTTCAGTTCTTGAGATATATTACTGAAATCTTCCACCTTTTCGTTTCTCCCTAAAACAATGCTAATTTGTCGGAATCGCCTATATCGGAACACTGTAACATAGTATAGCTGACAAACTTCCCACACCGTTCCCACAACAGTCGGGTCTACGTAACCGGAACGGACCCGGATTTTATCCGGCCAAGGACTGTCAACTCGGCAGAAATCTGCCGCTACAACAACAACAACATAGCTGACAAACTGTCCAATCGAAATAAAGATCTTGTATTGTACGTAATTTGGCATAGTTTTGTTGTCCAAGGCGATAGTACAATCTCCGAATAAATTATTTAGATCGGAATTATATAGCATTTAGCTGCGATACAAACTGACTGACTGCTTCGGTGCAGCGGAAGTAACTTTTTTTCTTGTTTTGAGGAACTTAAAAGGCTAACGTAACTCACCTGATATAACGGTAAATATCAGTTTCACGATTTCCCAAACGCTTCGATTGAAGTTTAATCGTCTTATTCTTTCTAATTCACTTCGACTATCCAAAATAATTTTACTTAATAAGTATTTCAAATATTGATTGAAAAATTGAATGCGAAACTCGCTTGATTAGAAAAAACACATCCATGGCCATCTCCATACTTCCCATACCACTCAAATAAGTGAAAATCTGTGTCGGCTCGGTTTTATGTGAGCATTTGTGCTTGATAAGAGTCTTCTGCGCAAATAATAAGCAAATTAAGTCATAAACAGCGTGTAAGTGACAAAAACCACGAATAATTTAAATGTAATCATTTTATAAAAATCCACCGCCTTAAATGCCATTGTCTTCACATTTAGCACACGCGGTTTGATCATTTGAAGATCGCCTCTTTGATAAATCTCACTTTCAAAACATGCGGTGACCAACTGCATCAACTCTTGGGAGTTGCATTCGGCCGGCACGCACAAATCGATGTGTAAGAGGAGCTGCGGCTGCCCATACACGACTCCTGCTTGATACAAAGAATTATGAGCTGCATAAATGACGCGATAGTCCACGTCAAAAGACGCTTTCTCCATTTTTGAAAAAATAACGGTTTTTTTCATTTATAACAACAAACTGCAATCGCGCGTGACATTGCTCGCCCACCAGTTCGGCATTGCTTACGCTAGTCAGTGGGAAAAGTATGGTGTTGTATTGCAATATATTTGACAAGCCCAACTGATTTTTCGTCACTGTGTTGGCTTTATTTAAATTACCGTTTATTGGCATGATTATTAGCAATAAAAGAACCCACGGCAGTTTGCACATGATTTTGTTGATTATTATTTTGCGCTTGTTAAATAACCGAAATTGCGCTTCGAACTTCTGATCAGTTGTGGAGATTTTGCAAACTACAATATTTGAGTTTATCTTAATTTTTCCCCATTGTTGACAATTTTTACCGAATATTGCCATATATATTATTAACTTTATTTAAATATATGTACATAATTTAATAATTAAGTATTTAGTTATTGCGTTAATGTTGTTAAACAAAACTAAACATTGACGAGTTATTAAGCGTATGAGATATTGAGTTCAACAGCAAATAAAATTCAAAGTTTTAATAAAAGTTATTATATTTTATACTGTCGCCACATGTTTTACAGAGCATAACAATTTCGTTCAGCTAACGGTAGTTTGTAACATCTAAAAATAATCGAGTTAGATGTTATATACATCTCTATATGTATATGTAAATGGTCAGGATGACGAGACGGGATGGAAATAGAGAAACTCCTGAAATATAGTTCAATATACAAGATATCTTACAGAATGTAGAGGGCATTACGTAGTATACATTATTCTAATGAACTTTCCGTCGAATGTATCTTTAAAACTGCGAGTTATCTTAATAATACTACATGGAAACATGTTGTCGAGAGTACATGAGTTCAATACCAAAATTAAACAACACATACCATATGGTGATTTACGACTAACCGGTTGACTTTATACCGTTTATATAATGAAGCTGAACATGTTTTCCAAAATATTATATATTTATAAAGTTTAGCGCTGAATATACGTGAAATCGGTTCATACCTTTTGGCCTAAATCCAATATTTCTTATAAAATGAGTCCCCATAATATGATATGTGGAATATGGTGAGATTTGATAATCAGGTAGACTTTAATACAAATATCTCGGACATAGAGCAAAATGTAGTAGTGAAACTAAGTGGGTATAAAAACTATAGTATAGTATGTGAATATGATACTAACTACTACTCTAATCCACTCACGATTTCATTATTTAACATCGTTAGTTGTTTGCAAAACTTTTTAATATAAAGTTATGTCAACTTCTTACTTGTGTTTTTTTTTTGTTCTCGTGGGTAATGATATAAGTATTGGCAAAAAAGCGATATATTCAGCGACGGATCAGAGGGTGAAATTGGAACAGAAGCGGGCTTTTTCTGAAGTAATCCATACACAGAAGGTAGTTTCAAACTCAAAGACTACAATTCAGTTTTCAAGCCGAAATTATTGGCATAACAGAAGGTGCCAAGTGGGCTTCTGCTCTAATTAGCAAGTCCATAAATCTTATATTGGCCAGCCAATACTAAATCTCTAGGTCACTACTTGTAGCCTTCAGCCGGATATATTCCACGGCCCCAATGCTCCAACCTAAGATACATTGGACAGCTGGTATGAAAAAATCAGTTTTTTTACCAAGTCCACTGAGTAGCTGGATAAGGCTTAATTTGGTTACCACCTCGGAGCACAATGGTCCTAATTATGGCCGTTTGAAATTTGGCGCTCCTGTGCCGCCCTTTTCAACCAACCATGGGCAAAAAAGAGTATTGAATTTAATATATTATCTATGCATACATAAATCCTAAGCTTATAAATAATCATTACTGCATCCGGTTGGATATAGCATATTAAGATTTTAATTTTTCTCGCGACACAAGGGCAGTTAGATAAGTCAGTAATCATTTATAGTTATACTTCGAAAGTTGTAAAATCAATGGATTTGAGTGACGACAACATATTAGTCACACGCTATATAGCGGCACTATGATGAGGTTATACTATTTAGATGATTTACACAAAAAAAAAACGAAAACACAACAGAAAACGTTAAATTCGGGTGCATCGAGTAATACCCTTCACAAATAAAAAAAGTTTCCATACAAAAACTTGATTTTGATTAGTCAGTTTGTAAGGCAGCTATGTGCTATAAAGGTCCGATATCAGCGGTTTCGGCAAATGAGCAGCTTCTCGGGGAAAACAGGACGGATGCAAAATTGCAGATCCATATCTCAAAAACTGAGAGAGATAGATAGACATACGGACATGGCAAATCGAATCAGTCCGTCAGGTTTTTATATTTTTTAATATGCCCGAAGCTTTTTGAAACAATTTTTACTTAAACTTCACTATAGTAAAAGTGGTCAAGCACAAATCTTTATTCATATTAGTCAGGCGGATTTGCGTTTACTAACTCATAGGTTCAAGTTTTCAAACGTAACATACATATGTTGAAATTTGTAGCATAGGTTCACTATCTTCAACAACAATATATTCTGAAAATAACGAGATACTAAACGTTATGACGATACTTTTTTACTCCATGCTTCAGAATTTTTAAAAATGTTATCACTAATTTTCATAATAGGATTAATTGTCGAAATTGTTGAGCAAATAGAGACACCGAAATAAGTTGACATTAACGGTTCGTAGTCAAGCCGAATTTATTCCATGCGATAACGTAAAATTGAAGTGACATATTTGTGTGTAAAAGGAGGATATTTCATGAAAAATTTCCGCTCTAAATTGCAACAATATGTTATTAAAAAAATTAAACAATCGATTGACAGAAAGCACTGTTTTCATTTTAATTTTTTTTTATTGTATCAAAATTTACATATTTGTAGATACTGTCATTTAACTATGTTATGATGACTTCGCTCGCTTCGCTAGGCCTCGCTTTGTCAATAAACTGGAAATATTACGATAAGGCATTTCAAAAAGTACAGTCAACGGGAACGATAATATATGCAAAATAATGATAAGTCCGATGTATAGCACACACTGAAATGAAAATAAATAATAACGTAACTATAAACTTTTAATAAATAAAACCAAAAAAATAAAAAGTAAGAAATTTTATTAAAAATAAATTTCCTCATCTTTTGCCAAAAGGAAAAACTATTTTTTTAATATTTTGATAAATAAAATCATTATAGTTTATATGTACGAGTATATAAAATTATTTTGTAATTTAATAAGACATTTTTGAGTATTGTAACAGGGTATATTGAGTTTGCCACGAAGTTTGTAACATCCAGAAGGAAACGTCGTAAAAAGTACATTGTATATGCACATAAATGATCAGCATGATGAGCCGAGTTGATTTAGCCATGTCCGTCTGTCTGTATATATACGAAATAGTCCCTTAGTTTTTAAGCTATATTTATGAAATTTTGCACCTGTCCTTTCCTCACTAAGATCCTACTCATTTGTTGAAACGGCCGATATCGTACCACTATAGCAAATAGCTGTCATACAAACGGAACAATCGGAATCAAGTGCTTGTACGGGAAACTTTTTTATTTGACAAAATATCTTCTCGAAATTTGGCATGAGTTATTTCCTAAGGCAACAATGCAATCTTCGAGCATATAGCAATCATATTAATTGAATGATCGGAGTAAAGTTCTTGCATAGAAAACTTTTTTGTTTGACGAGGTATCTTCATAAAATTAGGCCCAAATTGAACTATTGGAATCAAGTTATAATAATGAATCTTTGTAATTGTGAGGGGTGCAACCGAAGTAAACTTTTTATCTTGTTTTTTAATAATAATGAAAAAATTGTATTCGGAGGACATAATGAATGATAGAATCAGTAATATCTTTCGTATGATCCTACATTATATTTTCATAAAATTTATATATTTCATCAACTTAGCTTACCATTCGGATCGGTTCCACAAACACCAACTTACTGCCCGCAGTAAAAAGACAAATAATAACCAAAGAATTCAGCAACGACAGGGCATAGGACACATGAATTGCTTTTTGGAAGATTTTCGCACTCAAAAAACGACCATACCAACGGAGGCGATTATTTGCTATAGCAATAATGGACCAACAGCCGCTCAGAGTATAAAGACAACGTTGTAGTACAAATATAAAGGTCTCCACATGCACTGAATAGCCACGCCCCAATGGGGCGGTCCGCATACAAATCATAAATACTAAATGAATGAGTTGACTGTAGAAATTTGTTAAAAGCTTATAAGATTGAAGCTGTGCATTATATTCGAGGTATAGCCAACAAGTGAGAGCACCGCCGAGATATGGAAAAATTCGTACGAGTGGATTCGCATAGAACTGGGTAAAGTTAGCGAATGTGGTCTCCAAAGATATCTGAAAGTTCACTTGCAAGGCCACGATTGTTTGGCATGCCAAAGATGCTATTAGTAGCAGCAATACAAAAATCTTAGCATATTTAGGATGTCTGGAAAATAGAAAAAGTTGTGTACTGATTTTATACAGAATTATTTTTGAATCGCAATTTACTTAGCATATAAAACCAAGAGTACTGTCAAGGTGATCGCAAATTGCATTTCGCAAGACAAAAACCAGGTCCATATCAAGCACATGTCCTTGTGATCGTATAAATTGTGAATGAAGAGCACATTGCGCCACCAGTATTGTTCACACTTTTCCGTTATAAAACCCGATAAATTAAACACGGTTGTACTGTCGTTATATTTCAGCGTTAAATAGCTAATACATAACATAAAATAGTAGAGCGGTGCCAATCTAGAAATTAAATATGAAATAAGTTTAAGGTTTGGATTTATACATTGTATTTTCTATATAGGTACATATGTCAAATTTATATAGGCATATAGGTATATTGATTATAGGCATAGAAATTGATAGTTAATCCAGCAACTAGTTGCGGAGATATAAGCGTGAATGTACACGTTTTTTACTTCGGTTCCCAAAACTTTAAACGCCTTTTTCTCGAAAATGGATGCTACATATATACTATTTGATACTTTCCTATAGTTTGCGCATTTGTAAATGGGTCAAGAGGTCAGAAGAAAGGTAGAGCAAGAGATTATTTCACTTTCAATTATTTCATAGTAGTTGTTAAGAGACTTTGTAAGAAAAACTTCTTTCTTCAGCTTCTTTTCTTGTCTTGGATAAGATATATCAATATCGATTAGAAATTGGAATTTAAAATCACTACTATCTCCCATCTGAGGTGAAAATCTATAGTTCTCAGACTCGTTGATATTTTTATATCCTGACCAAGCTATACTAAGTTTGTAAGACTAGAAGAAAGGTAAGGTAAGGTAAGGTTATATATAAATAAATTATCACCGTGATGAGCTGAGTCGATTTAGCCATCTTCGTTTCTCGCTAAGAATCTGCTCATTTGTCGGAACCGGTCAAAATCAAGTTCTTGTGTGAAAAACTAATTTATTTTACGAGATATCTTCACGAAGTTTCGCATGAATTATGGTCCAAGACAATGGCATAATCTACGAATAAATTTTACAGATCGGAACATTATAGCATAAATGCAGCTACCGAATATAGCGAACCGACCGATTAAAATCAAGTTCTTGTATGGAAACCGTTTTATTTTTGAAGAGTTTTATATCTTCGGTGTAGCCGAAGTTAACGGTATTTCTAGTTTTGAAGAGATTTAAAAGGTAAGGAGACTCACCTGAGATAACGATGAAATGTCAGTTTCACGATTTCCCAAACGCTTCGAGAGAAGTTTAATCGTCTTATTCTTTCTAATTGGCTTTGATTTCGTAGATAGGTATAGGCCTGTAGAAATCCACTATACAAAATATTTGTATTTAATAAGTAATTTAAATATTGATTAAAAAATGGAATGCGGAACTCGCCTGATTAGTAAAAACACATCCATGGCCACTTCCATATTTCCAATGCGGCTCACATAAGTGAAAAGCTGTGTCGGATTGCTGACAATGGCTTTCAACAATATGAAAGTATGAAAAAATGTGGAAATAAGAGAGCCCTCAATGCGTCCACCATTTAAGAACGCAAATGTATTGAACGCGGTATCGGGCGGTGCGAGTATCTTCGAACAATTTAATTGGAGATCATAACAAAGAACAAATGCCTGAAACGAGCTCGGTTTTATGTGAGCATTTGTGCTTGATAAGAGTCTTCTGCGCAAATAATAAGCAAATAAAGTCATAAACAGTGTGTAAGCGACAAAAGCTACGACTAATTTGAATGCAATCATTTTATAAAAATCCACCGCCTTAAACGCCATTGTCTTCACATTTAGCACACGCGGTTTGATCATATGAAGATCAAGACTTTGAAACATCTCACTTTCAAAATATGCGGTGACCAACTGTATCAACTCTTGGGAGTTGCATTCGGTCGGCACGCACAAACCGATGTGTAATAGGAGCCGCGGTTGCCCATACACGACGTCTGCTTGATACGAAGAATTATGGGCTGCATAAATGACGCGATAGTCCACATCAAAAGGCGCTTTTTCCGTTAGCAGAGACATATTCATTTTGTGCGTCACATAGCGGGAAATATCCAAGTTAAGTCCGCTCCGTGCTGCCTCGCACAGCTGACCGTTACCCAGCCATAAATTATCGCCGAGCATGAAAGCGGGCGATATTTTGCCAGAGGCGTCAAGTGCTGAAAATTTAAAAAAAAATAACGGTTTTTTTCATTTATAACAACAATTAGCGCTGAACAGTGTCCCACCTTTAAGCGCCCAAAAGTCGCGCTCCAAAATGCCGCGTCGCAGATCCTGCAGTCGCGCGTGACATTGCTCGCCCACTAGTTCGGCTTTGCTTACGGTAGTCAGTGGGAAAAGTATGGTGTTGTATTGCAATATATCTGACAAACTCAGTTGATTTTTCGGTACTTTTGAATATTCATTTAAATTACCGTTTATTGGCAGTGAAATAACCACGATTATTAGTAATAAAAATGTCAACGGCAGTTTGCACATGATTATCGAATTGTGTTCGTTCAATAACTGAAATTGCGCTTCGAACTTCTGATCAGTTGTGGAGGTTTAGTCAGACTGTGGCAGTACCAAATATTGCAACATATAGATATTACTAACTTCATTTAACACACACATAATGCGCACATAATATAACAATTAAATATTTATTTATTGCGTAAATGTTACTAAACAAAGCGAGGCTTTGCTAATTACTTAGCTTTTGACAAATTGATTTAAATGTAAAGTCCAACAAAATATAGAATTCAAATTGTTAATAAAAAATTATAACTTTCCATACTCTCGCAACATATTGTACAGTGTATAATAGTTTTTTCACCTAATGGTTGTTTGTAACACATAAAATAATCGAGATAAATATGGAGCAAAATCTCATACAGGAAAAATTGGAACGGATTTGCTGTTCTCTGTATAACGTGGACGCTAAGAACCACTCCAAAGGCTACACTAAAAACATTGCAGTAGAAAGCTCGATAGGTAAATTCTCAACAAGGACCCTCGGGCATAGTTCAATAAGCAGGGAGTTGGTGGATAAAATAGACCACATACCCTCGTACTTAATTTGTTAGAGAACTTTTCAAGTCACACTAAAAGAGGTTGGATGGCGCAGGAGCCTGCGACGTGCCAGCGAAACCTACAACATCTATATCAAATCGAAAATGGCCAATGGAGTGGGAGATGGTATCTATTGCTTGAGGTTGGATAGGCGACCCTTCAAGCTTCTCGAATACTGCAGTATCTTTCGGGCGGAGGTCTTTGCGGGCAAGGAAACGGCTGAGATAGTGAACAAAGAAGGAAACATGCACATAAACTGAGTTCCAAGGCACAAAGAAATCCCGAGAAACGAAACAGCTGATGAGATTGTCAAACGGTCCCGTCCGTTTGGCTACCGAACCAATACAGAAAATACTAAAGTCACTAAAAACGATATATTGTACAATAAAATTTTAGAAAGGGCTGACAGACGGATTAGGGCGAAATGACACGCTTTAAGGACATGCAGAATCGCCAAGATCATGTGCAAAAGCCCCGAAGAAAAATACGCACGGTCATGGAAGGACTGCAGAACGGTTGTTAGTCTAATGACTAGTCACAAACCACTGGCATCACATGCGAACCGAATGGACATAAGTCATGACGATACATGCAGAAAGTTCAGGGAAGTAGGCATGAGATAGACGCTGGGACACCTGTTATGCTTCTGTTCAGCATTTTCTAGAACTAGCCTTAGATAATCGTATTTAGGTGCTTCACAAGCGACTAGACGAAGTGTCAAACTTAGAAATCAAGTAGGTTTTAAAGTTCGCAAAAGTGTCGACGTCCTGTGTAATGAATACTTCACCTCGAATTGAACTGAACCTCCATCTATCTTACCAGACCAGTAGGTCTATATATGGCTTGACAGCCGCTTAGTATAAGCTAACCTAACCTATTCTTATATATTATATTACTGATCAGACTGATGAGACGAGACGGAACGTGGGAAAATTCTTAAGTATTAGTTAATCTGCAAGTTTAATCTTTATTTTTTGAATCCTACGGCTCCGCGAGATGTCAATATACCTTAAAGAAATATAAAAGGCATTGGATAATAGCGGTTCAGTATTTTCTATAGCCATCACAAGTCAAATTAACTGAAGTCGTAAATAAAATAAGTAGTTTGATGGCGAAAATCTGCGAATTGAATCCCACGAATAATGATTTCAGTGATTCTAGTGGACCTTAAGTCTAATACAAGTATATCTGTAAAATCTTGTGTTATTTTAATTTGTGACTTATCTTATCCAACTAAAGCTTGAGTTGAATACCAACAGTAAATAATATTTAACACTTTCTTCTTGGTTTATATTTGTCAATATGTGTGATATATTGGGTCTATAACTATATTCCTGTATTTTTTTTAACACCAGTCATCATCCGATGCAAAAATGACTTCTTTTTACATCGTTCAAGCAACATTTCTGAGATGCAAAATCCTTTTCCAACATCTCCAGGCTGCGATTCATATGGCACGTAATTCCTTTGCTTTTGAATGTATCCGGCTGCTTTAACCCGTTTTGAAATGGATCCTTGAAGGACTACCAAAGATTCTGCGAGCTCTTTTTGTGTTTGGTAACAATTTTCACCGAGTAATGCTTCTAGTAGCTCATATTTAAACTTTTTTGGGCGCCCACGACGTTCTTCGTATTTCAAGACGAAGTAACCACATTTAAATTGTTCTGACTTTTTTCGGCATGTTCGCTCAGCTAAAGCACATTCACCACAAACACCCAACAAAATACGATAACTTTTGGCTGAGGTTTTATTTGTATTTAAGTAATGAAGAAGAACTCCTCGCAATAACACTTTTTCAGACCCAAAGCTCGACATATTTGAGCTAAAAAAATTATTGTTGTTTACGCTTCAAATGAATGGCATGTACTGAAAAAGACGCACATGGACAGTATTGGAACAATCGATTAATAATCAAGTTACGCCATCACTTGGTAAACCACACGAACATAGTTATAGATCGTCATGTTTTCTTAAAAATAATATCATTTCGCGCTGATTCATTTTCAGCAATTCAATCAGTACTCCTCATATATTGATCCCAAATAATATGATATTGTTGACTTTAATACAAATATCTCGGACATAGAAGAAAATGTAGTAATGAAGGTAAGTGGGTATTAGAACTATAGTATAGTATGTTAATAAGATACTTAATACTACTATAATCCACTCACGATTTCATCATTTAACGAATAGTGAAATAGTTTGCAAAACTTTTTAATACAAAGTATTGTCAATGCCAGAAAATATTCCCACACCACTGAGCCTCACAAATAGCGATAGTATAAAATGTTCGGTTACACCCGAACATGGCCCTGTCTTACTTGTTTTTATACTCTCGCAACATGTTGCTATAGAGTATAATAGTTTTGTTCACCTAACGGTTGTTTGTATCACCTAAAATTAATCGAGTTAGATATAGGGTAATATATATATTATATAAATGATCAGGATGAAAAGACGAGTTGAAATCCGGGTCACTGTCTGTCCGTCCGTCTGTGCAAGCTGTAACTTGAGTAAAAATTGAGATATTTTTATTGTATGAAACTTGGTATACATGTTTCTTGATACCGTAATGGGATCACTGCCACGCCCACAAAACGCCATTAATCAAGAACAAATAACTTGTCATAACTAAACTCCACAATAAGATACAAGGCTGGTATTTGGCACACACATTAAAGCTATAATAACAAAATTCACTAAGAACCAATGTTTTTAGCACCTCTATCTACGGTGTGAAATCGGGTAACAACCTCGCCCACTCCCCATATAACGGTACTGTTAAAAAATACTAAAAGCGCGATAAATCAAGCACTAAACACGCCAGAGTCATTAAATTTTAACACAGAGATTGTATGAGCTGACTTTATAGGAGCCGCGTTCTAAATTAGACAATGGGCGTGGCACCGCCCACATTTCGATGAAAACCCATATCTTGGGATCTACTTAAAAGATTTCAACCAAATTCGGTACATAATATTCTTATATTTCTATGTTATAGTGCGAAAATGGGCGAAATCGGATTACAACCACGCCCCTCTCCCATAAAACACCATTTTAAATTTCATCTGATTTTTTCACTCAAGCAACAATGATTTAATCGGGGTAAAACTTGCGCGAATTAAAGTATGCCACCTTGTAACGCCCCTAGGTACTGAATATGTGGACCCCAGTGCCTATAGTTAACCTTTTACCGAAAATATCGGTCAATCCGCAAAGAAATCTCAAACAAGTATACCATTTGACTTTGCGAGAGTAAAAGAGGTTCGGTTACATCCGAACTTGGCCCTTCCTTACTTGTTTTTTTTTGGTTTTTGTGGATAATAATATAATATTGGCCACAAAGTAATATAATTACTCAATATAATTTTACGTACATTTATTTATATATAGAAATTCTAAGCTTATAAAAACTAGGTAGTGCATCCGGTTGGATAAGCATATTAAGATTGTTATTTCTCTCGAGACAATATATTGCAACAAATTTGAGTGACGATAAAAAATTCGTTACACGCGTATTGTTATTATATTAATAAGACAGATTGTAAATAAAACTAAATGATATACAAAAAAAAAAAAATAAATAAACACGCGCAATCTATACAGCGGCACTATAGTGAAGCTAAATCGCTTTAAATAAATTCTATATAGTAAAGAAGGTTTATTATTTGTATCAAACTAAAGAATTTTTATTAAATTTAATTCATAATTTGAACAATATATTATTGTACGATTTGAGTACTAAAGTAAACTAAATTAAACAAGGAAGGAAGGGCTGAGTCGGGTGTAACCGAACATATTGCAAATATCAAAGCCGGAGAAATACCTTCAGATTTTGGCAAAACTATATAATAAACAAGAAAAATCATTAGCTTTGATCACTTAGTTTGTATGTTAGCTATATGCTATAGTGGTCCGACATCGGTCGTTCTAAAGTGACGGACTTACTTATCTTCATTACTACATTTTGCTTCGTGCAAGAAATACTTATTTTAAAATCATCCTAATTTATTCAAATGAGATATATATATGTGATATAAATTCGTACACAGAGGCTAAATTTAATATATTGGATAGATGTGGAAAAAGTCAAACAAAAAATCGGTAGACTAATTGGATTCATATTCAACACCAAAATCTGCTTAATTTTCCAGTATAAGTTAAGAGTTTCGCTGGTGAATCGCGTGCCCCTGCGCCATCCACCCTCATTTAGCGTGACTTAAAACCCTATCTCCCAGATAAAGCGTGAGTGTATGCGGTCTATCTTATCCACCGACCCTCTGCCTATCGGGCTATGTCCAAAGGTTTTATGTTAATTGGTGGCAGGTTGAGTAACCTTTCAAGCGCCCCCCTTGATGAGTTACTGTTCGCACTAAAGCTTTTATCCATGTAGTAATGACGCGCTCTATCGCGGCTCTTTCCAGACTACTCTGCCTAAGTAGGTGTCAAAAAAATGCATTCTTTAACAAGTTGGGCGATATAGTTTATATGGTTTGGAACAGGCCCACTCTTCAAAAATTTGCGGCGTACAGATGCCCCTCACTACAAATACCCTATTACCCCTGCACCAATTACAGTTCTGTAAGATGCATCGTGTCATATAATAAACTTATATATGGAATTGATCATGA